CACACGGTGATTGGCCAATAACAAATAAATAAATGAAGGGTCCGATGAATTAAAAACTTTGCTCTATCGAACGAGAGAGCGAACAAATTCTATTTCTTATATATTTATCATTGGTAGGGATGGAAATGGTGTAGTGGCAAGTGGCACGCTTACCACGCGAGCGGTCCGGGGATCAAATCCTGGGTCGTGAGTCGCCCGGGCCAACCAAGCCTTCCATCCCTCCGGGGTCGGTTAATTGGTACCAGACTTGTCTGGGAGGATAAAAACACTGACTTGTACATCGGCTGGCCCCCGCAAGTCATTGTATAGGCCACATCGCATTCAAATGCCACTGCGAATGTACAAATGGAAGTAGAATGCGTGCCGCATCCCAAAAAGGGATTGATCAACGGCAAGCTGCTTTATGCTTGATGCTTTTTTTCATTGGTAACAGTGAAGACAAGAAAACAACTTAAACAACGTCAGTTACATACTACACCCTCCATACAACTTACAGATCGTAACTCCATAGTTCTTCCTTGCAGGGCGTTCGAAAAACACAAAAAATGTGAAAAAAAGGAGCACATCTGCATTGAGAGAATAAAGTACAGAACTCGCTTTACAGATAACAGGATAGCTCCAAAATGGATCGTAAGGCGGCGCGTAGCGATTTCGCGGTACAACAAAGCGCTCGTTACACATCTATCGCTCAGCATTTGTAGCTGTCTTGATGTTCAGAAACAGTGAGCGGAGCAATTATTTTTGCAGTATTCGTAAAACCGACGCATTACTGCAAGTCTAGGCTCTTGAAAGTTGTCAGCAGATTTTTTTCATATCTCCAAAGAAACTGTACGCTTCCTCACGGTCCTAGAGAATTCAATTTCGTTCCCACCAGTCGCTTCGTTACACTACACCTAATTAATGCAATTTACAACTAGTTCCACTCTTCATACTATCACGGAGTTTTTCATTGAAGCGAAAGATTGGGGCGCGCAGCGAAAATTCGAAGCACTGCTCCCGTGTACTCCTTGAAGGGTGAAGATATCATGGATCCGCATTTTTGCAGAATGTAACTCGATCTGCTGAACATCGTAGCTTTTCCAGATTCTATACACCCACTTTACGCAACAATGCTGCAATGGCGCAATACTACAACACAAACATTGCGCAATGAGCCCTGTGAGTGTAAGCAGGGGAACATTTCAGGATAGAAGGGACCAGAGCTGGTTTTAATTCGCATACAACACTTAGCAGAGACCGTGTACTGAAAAGGTCCAAGAGTCAGCAAGACTCCGGAAATGGGTAACGAATTACATTGGCGGTGAAAGAAGTCTTCAGTTTCGTATCTGAAGAAGATATTGAACTTAAATGAGAAATTTATTTTTCTGAATTTTTAGTGTAGTGGTGATAAGTTGTGGTGCCAAAAACTAAAAGGAAACGTGATAGAGGAAAGGTTAAAAGAGAAAAAGTAATTTTGGATGAATGCTAACTGCTTTTGTTGGCTATAGTTCATAATACAAGAATGCTGAGTTTTGTGCAAACTCTTGATCCCATGTGGGACTCATTTTTGTATCTCTCATTTCGGGACGCCGCGGTGCCAATCACAAAACCTGGGCATCATTTCACCGCTCTAACTCAGCGTGAACATTCAGCTCTAGAAAGATAAGGTGGTCTGAAAGCATACTGGATATGCCCACTTTGTCACCGATCAGGCAGAGACGCTAAGGCTCAAGGATCCTCACAGGGCCCTACGCAGCACCAGGGGTGCAACTAACCTTCGATTTTTTCACCTCCTCGAATTCCCTTATCTTGCCGTCTCCTTCTCACACCTTTTTCTAGCATACTGTGAGAAGGAGATCATTAAATAAAACACTTTCGATGAAGTCATTTCCTTTTTATCGGTCCCTTTCCTTTTTATTATCGGTCCACATCGTGTCTCTAACTTCATCTTGAAGCGGCATCACCAAACCATTTTCGTGAGATGTGCCTTCAAAGTTTGACCTATTCGGAAAAAATTGAAAAGATTACTGGGCAAGAGTCACATAGCCGAATGGTTCCCTCTACAAGAATGGAGATAACCCGAAGACCTATTCACATGAGGCTACCTCGTGAGTTCTGCAGCAATTTCCTGCAAAGTGCTATTTATTTGTAGGTGTTCCAACTACAGAAACGTACACCTGCAACTAGTCCAACAAGCGGGGCGACTTGGTTAGCGATTCTCCTTCAGTCTCCTGCTCTAACGGTTTATAATAGTTTTGGAAGGCAGTCCTCAAAATGTTTTTCGCGGATCTTAGAAGTTATCTTCAATATTGGTCAGCATTATTACTTATATACACTTTCCAAACGATTTTATGATCTCCTTGAATTCGACATACAGAGCATAACCCGTCTCAAGCATCACTCTGTGGGTCGTCCATGTCCTCGTTGGCCTCTCAGTGGAGAAAATCCTTATCCCCCAGCTGGTCCGGCTGAAGGTCGCAATCATTGGGAAGCGGCTGCTTAAACACATGCCAAAATAAATCAAACGTGGTTTCAACTGTAAATCACTGGCGAACTGCATCTACTCTTAATCTAGAGACCCCCCCAATAGATTCCCGATCAAACTTCTGTAGCGATTCAATGTTCTTTGCTTCCACAGTAAGCTGTTTTTATAGCCCTTTAGTGGCTATTTCAGGTCCGTCTGCAAGGAAACCCCCCTCGCACCCAAACTACAGCCAAAGCTCTTTTTTTCAAAATGATGCTCATTTTTGAATTTCGACTGGGCTATAGTACGGCACTAACCCATTACCAAGACACTTGCTTTGTGATCCTTATGCTCCTAGAATTCGTTCAGGAAAGCCATCAGGGTTAGATCGCATCTGCGCTGCCTACTTGGAGCTCACCCGCACAAGTCACTTTGCTTGTGATTATCGCAGCCTCGTTTCATGAACACACGGCTAGAAGTTTTCTTCTTCTTATAAAGGTTTTGAGTAAACACATGTCGAGTATAAAAATGCTAGCTGCAACTTTTCTCCGGCTCCCGCCGCACTGATTTGGGCAGGCGAATGAACCTGGCAGCCGCCATAATGTTGGTCATCAGATCAGCTTAGGACGAATCAGGACACAGTAAACGTTAAGGTCTTCGTATGTTTTTTATGCTCTGATGTGCTTGTGCCGTTCACGGATAACTTCCACGTCGGAACTTCTTACCTTCGACACACATGCAGGATCCCAGGAAGGTCGGCATCCAAGCTCTCTCTGGATAGAGATCTAGGTCCCACCAATCTGCAGTGATCGCGCCCACTTTTTCGCAGTCCAACGACACCGCAAAACATTTCAACGCGCTTTAGGCTTGATCTCGCTACGTCAGAACAATCCGTACCCTTGCAGCCATTCGGTATCTATCTGGCGTCGTATGTTGCCTGCTATGACTCTATCGGCTTCAGCATTGCCTCCCTCTGCTCCATCTGACCACATAAGCTCTCCCCTGTGCGCCTGTCTGCCCTCTTACCATTATTTTCTCCCACAGGTATCACAAAGAGTCCATATTCGTTCTTGAAGAATCTAATTTTTTTCGCGTTCCTTTAATCGTAGAGTGCGAATTTTTGATTCGTGTCATTACATAAATTTAGCTAAAGCTCCATGTTCCTCGGAGGGCTTCTGGCTTGAAGCGTGCTGCCATACGTTCACGCGCAAGAACACCGTCTCAACATGCAGGAGGTGTTTCGCGTGGCAGACTTCTACAGTTCGTGGAGTGCAATCCGACACGATGTCCAAGCGGTGCACGTTGATACTCTTCCCTGGCAGATAGGGTATATTTGTGGGCGGAACTTGCCATTCGTGAATTGAGCTGTTGTTGATTTGTGAACATTCAATAGTCTTTCAGGAAATAATGAAATTTTTAAGAGGTCCGAAACCAACCTCTCTGGGGAAGCCATCAATGCCGTCGCTGTCGTGCCCTGCTGGCTGTTCAGGAGCAGGCTGCGGGACTACTCCTTGTCCAACGACTGCCGTATTCTCTACTAACAGAGATACGCCGCTGTCGGATTAGGGTTTGAAAGGCGCTCGACCTCCAAATCGTATGAGTTAAAACGCAGTATAATGAATCGAAAATCAAGTCGTCATCAAAATTGCTACCGAATTGCTCTGCAACGCTATTAGAAATTGCGAAGGCGGGCTCCGCTGTTACCTTGTTGTTGTTTTCCCATGTCTGTTGCCATCTCTGATCGTCTCCACTCATGTACCACGGCTTCATTGCGTTCTCATTGAATGCGTTCACATTGTTGTTATTGTCGATCGGAAACGGCTGAGGCAAAATAGCAGCCTGAAGCTGCAGAAATTTCTGTGAAAATAACAGGAAAATTCGTAACAATAATAGTGCTTCAATGGGTGGTACCTGGTTTTGAACCGGGAGTGGGAACTGATTTTGGTTTGCGATGGGCTGGAAAACTGGTGGAGGTGGTGGCTGAAACTGCTCTGGTTTGTTAACAATTCAATGACACACATCACGCACAAATTTCTTTATTGATGGACCGACGTCTCAACCAACATTTTTTCTTGAAAGGCCATTCCCCTACTGATAGAAAGGAGAATAGGCTTACAAGCAGTGTAAAAGTCGCACAATGTGCCAGTTAGCAAGCGCTAAATTGGTTAGAAACCAGACTCTTATGTCGTGCCTGGCCGGAACGTGTACGCAGGTTTTAACGGCTTCCTCCATTCTCTCACTATTTTTGGTAGGAAATCAGTCACAGTCGAGTTTTGAAGCAAAATATGTTGGAGACAGCCGGAACTACCTTAACTGGTCTCACCTGCTGCTGGAACTGCTGTTGTGGCTGCGGCATCGGATTGAAGAAGTAGACCATGGGTGGAGCCTGTTGAGGCATCAGAGGCTGATCCCAATGCGGCTGATCCCACATTTGTGGCTGCATAGCCCAAGGTTGAGGCCAAGGTTGAGCTGGTGGCTGAGCCCATGGCTGAGGCCACGGCTGCTGTTGCTGCTGTTGCATCATGGCCTGCTGCTGCTGTTGTTGTTGCTGCTGCTGGAACTGCAACTGCGCCTGGGCCTGGAAAAACTACATAATGTTCAGAAGCCTGCTGAAGTAGTACACTTCCACATAATCTAGCTTAATCTGCACCATTTGCATCAGCTATGTCGTGGTAGCCAAATGAAGCCTTTTTCTTACTTTCCTTCTCTCCCCCGTCTTCCCCGAGGAAGCCTCCGCGATTCAGAGGAAACAAAACATCTACACCGTTAATGGAATAAACCGCTAATTTCGATGGCCCAAAATGTGCATGGTTTTTCGAAGAAGTCGAAATCCGCGCTATCCACTCAGTAGGCCTTCCGATAGTGGGGCTGGTATAGTGGGCTATAGTTGTGGCGTACTAACCATCAAATCAGTATCCTATCAAAAATGGCCTATTCTATGGAAAACAGCAGAAGCAGGTGAGCTTACGTTTTTCTGTCCAAGCATGTGTCCAATAACCTCAGGTGCAGTGTTTCCAAAAAGCTCCGTCACAACTCGCTGAGGTGTTTGGCTATCCTAAAGTGCGAAGTATTCAAAATGATTGCGTGAAGGGGTATTTCAATCTAGGTCTTTTTCGGTCAAGAAGACTTTGAAGGACTAATATATACTAGACGCATGTTGGGGGCGGGTTTGCTATTTAAGTTACGCTTAGTTCGCTCAGTAGCCTTCTAACTTCTCATTAATGATGCGTGATCTATCTTGGGGTTCTCCGGGAGCATCTTGGAAGGGCTCGAACATGTGATTCTCCTGGGGCCATCTGTTTTCCTGTCCCCACTGTGGTCCGTCCCAGCGATTCATTCTGAACGTGAATTCTTGTTGAACCAGTCAATATCAAATCTAGGAAGATCGCTTACCTCTCATGGTCTTCACCATGGATCGACGAACGCTGTTCGGCTCGAACTGCCCGGGAAATCGACCGCGCGCGGTTTCCATAAAAATGTGCGCTAAAATGTGTAAGGCTACATGAGAATCGCATTGATTTTTTATTTGGATTATGGCGGTGGAGAGCTAAACACTATGGAACACTGAAAGTTTTGTTACTTTTTGTGTGGCCCTAAATGCGTTGGTATTCGAGCATTCCTGTGGGATTTCTTCCAATATCTGAAGCCCATAACCGAAGCCGGCCGTGCTCCAAGTGACGCACGGAATATTTCTCTTGTTTGGAGATGCTTTCTAGGCTAATCTCATATACCCATATACTCAGCAATGTGGAATAACATATCTTCCCAGGACCTGGACGGCTGGATTTTTGACAAACCTACAATAAATTTTACATACATTTTGTCTTAATTTACATAAGTTTACTATTTGATGGGTGGCTTACCCATGGTTCGCACGTCCCGAGACCCCTTCCCCTAAATATAGCCACATCCTTGCTCGGGGTTGTTGTTTCGCATTTTTCGATAATGTCACCTACAGCTTCCATTCATTCTTTGCACCCTAGTTTTAGAGCGGAAAGGCGGGCTACGAACTTGTCGTCAACGGAAATCTCTTTTTTCGGATGATGAGACTCCGACACCTACTTTAGCCGTCGCCTGCTGTTACACCTAGCCTAATAACCACTACCTGGGTGCGGACCGTGCGCCACAGGGCGCACGCGAAAATAGACTGGTCGTCCGCGATGGGTTAAAGAACTTTACAACACCCTGTCTCAGTCAGGGTTCTAAACAAGAGGGTCTTTTTGAGTTTTTGTTCGGAATTAGGGTAGTATTTCGGGTTGGTGAGGTCAAAAGTGGAGAAAAGAGGAGTTGCAGTTTGAAATTTGCACGAATTATGGTGTCGGGCAAGGGACTCATTCTTCACGGGTTTTCTGATAATTTTGGTGGAAATTCAAAAAGTTAATCATGAAGTGGTTACAATCAGAGGGCTTGTCGTCTGATTTGCCCACAGTCGACGGATGGCCGTCATGGAGGGAAAACGTAGGAGTTGGGTAGTATTGACTGGTCTCACGGTCTCAGGATCAAATACTGCCATGATGATAAGGGTGGTGGTCGGGCTGGAGGAGGGGCCACATCGGGGGAGTATCTTAACAATCATGGTGGTGGTCTAGTCCAACCGAGACCCTCCAAGGTGGGGAGAGGAGGGGGAAGGGAGGGAGATGCTGAAGTTTTTTGAAATCTGCGCAACGCACGGTTGATCCTCATCTCGCCTGAGTCGTAGACATTCTGGAAACTGTGGACTCACATCTCATTGTTCTCCTCATCACTGTTTCGCCACTGTCCAAAGGCCTGTCTTGGCATTGCAACCTCACCAAAAGCGTCATCGATAGATTGCTGGGGCATCTGAAACAAAGCATCAAGCACTTGTGGAAGCGGTTAGACCTTGCGTTCGCCTCACCTTATTTGGTATGGGTTTCACTTCGATGACGTGAACCTGCATATCTCCAGTCAATCCCATCTCTTCAACATTCTCACGCATCTTTGACAGCAACATGCGGAGGAGATCGAACTTTGCCGACTGCAACTGGATATGATTGATGACTTTCATGTGTATTCACGGCATTCAAACAGTTCGAAACCACCCATATCAGTTTTGCCCAATTTGTGCTGCAAGTTTTGGAGTTTTTTTTTTAGGGAACATGTTGTTTTTATTGCGAATACGGTTTAGGTCCGTTCATGTGATAGACGTTGCAAAGCTGCAAGCTGAGTGCGTAGGGCATGAAAAACACTGGGGAATCAAATGCGATCATCTACACCCTGGAATGACCTTTATCAGCAATCCATCAGAACTGGAAATTTGCCTTTCAATCGCAAAACGTTCAGCCATATCATTGAGAATGCCTTCAAGTTACGGAGTTGTGCTGTGCGAAGCTTGGCGTCATTTGGGGAGCTTCTAGTGATCTACACGCTTCAGAGCGAGCGTTGACTGAGTCACTATAAACTACCAAGCAGCCGTATTCTGGCGTCAGTAATAATGGCGTGCTCTTAACAGCTTCCCATAGAAATCGCAACCTTCAACGGCTGCACTCGGCCATTGATATGATCAACACATGCTCATGACAGAATTTCGATGGAACTACGCAGTTCTCAGTCTAAGAAAACTCGTCGTGTGTTTGAATTCAAAGATTTGGTCTGAAGCATATTCGCTGGTGTCTGGTGTTTAACGACAAAAGCTGCTGTTCAGCGAGCATTCAAGAGTTCAGAGTAATATCTGAGTTCTCTATGTGGCCCTTCTTGATATGAGGAAGAAGAACCATACCGTGATATCTTTCTGTATGGCCAAACAGACTATGATTTTAATCTAGAATTCGTTTCATTTCGGCTTATATAAAAGAAGATAGGTAGGGGGGTGTTGATGAATTAATACACTTCCTTTGACAAGAGCACTTGCTGGTTACCGCTTTCTTATAGCGAAGAAGATGCGATATGAAAATCCGCACCTCATCTAAGGTAGACTATTACGATTTTCGTTAGATTGCAAACTTTTGTAATGTATAAAATCGATTCCGAGCACGTACATAACTTAACATCCAGAAACTCTGTGCGTCCGCACTACGTACTTCATAATACAAATGACGACAGCTTCCAAAAATGTAATAGCCGTCTGGCCAACAAAATTACTACTGGCTGCAATTGTATTTTATT